AATTAATGCAGTCGAATCTCATTTAATGCTTGGTCAACATGTTAAAAATATAGTCGTTGTAACATTTAATTCAAGCATTAACAGAATTTCAAAACTGTAACAGACTTAGTCGAGTGCAGGTTGCATATAATCAACTATATAACACAGTTAAACAAAGTTTTGAAAAACTTTCACTTTGAAAATCCTCACAGCTCACTTTGAAAATGGTTTGTGCAAAGCCACGAGTTTTAATCGACTTACCCCATAATGAAGTCGACTTAAAATTGTTGTTTTGCCACACAATTAAAAGTTCAGCATAACTGCTTGTGGTTTTCCTTCTATAAAACATCAGACATGCATTAACCAATAAAATCAATTATATAGCACAATGAAATGCAATGTATCAACACAATCATGTTCTCAATGCTTTAAAAATATTTAAACATTGATTAAAACATATAGCATGTAAGCAATAGAACATGTAACACAAAAACAACACATGTGTTATTAATTATGTTGTCATCATGAAAAACCATAAGCTGTGAGATTGTAGGTTCAGCTAAACCAGTGCTCCCCTATCAACAATCTCAACATGATGGAAAAGTGTTGTGTTGTTGGATGTAAAGCTGCTAGACCAAGATGCTAAAGGCAACTTGGAGCTCAACTCTTGTTGCCAATTCAACAAGCTCTATACTTCCTAGTATGCTACCCTGTTGGAGAAGGGATTCTGCTTCTTGGATACTTCAATAACATCACAACACCAATGCATAAAACCAAAACAATCACACTAAAAATATGTTACTGCACCAGATTGTTTTTACTCAAAAACATATTGCAAAGTACCTTTGGAAGCCAATATAGTTGAATTCAAATGAGTTGTAGTATTGAAAAAAAGAAGGGACAAAAAAGGAACATAGGAAAGGCACTATAAAAATGCCAATGTGTTTGATGAAATGCCCCAAAGAAGTGCAGATTTTGTGACTTTTTATTTTTGGGGTTCAAAACTAGATTGCTTGGTTTTTAATTGCTTTTTATGCTTGGATTATACTTTTTTTTATCATTTAATTGCATGTGGAAACATTAAACCAGCTTTTGCCAACCCATAAATGAAAATTAAAGAATTCAACTTGGCAAACAACACTTGAATTCGAAAACTACACCAGAAAATGCTTCCAAATTGGTGGTTTTAAACCCAAAATTGCTAGGAAGTGATTTAACAGCTAAATTGAGTGATCAAACAACATTGTATAATGATTTTAAAGATGTGAAAACTGTTACACAACTCAAAAAATATCCCAATGCAAAATGACTTGTTCACTTCCATTTAAATCACAATTTTGATGGTTTAAGAGGTGATTCTGCAGTTAAAAATGACCACTTGAACAGTGCACACAACTTTGAAATGGAAAAATAAACTTGCTCAAACATTGTATGTGCACAAACACAAAAAGATTCAACAAATCATACTTACTATAGCTAAATATGCAATAAAAATTCACCAAAATTGCACCAAAATTTAGAATGGAAAGAGTGGACAACAAGCTTGAATGAAACAATGGACAATAAGTTGTTATTGGATTTAAGGCAACTAAGCAATACTTTTTGCACTTCAGTGCTTAATATGAGTTGCCACACCTTTAGACATGCTTAACAACATATCACAAACTTGTCTCATGCTTTAGAAATAGCAATTTTGGATTGAAACAGATTGAACAACTTTGAACAAGAATTGACTTTTTTATGCAGATTTGTGAAAACATAAAAAAATTTTGGGTGAAAACATATTGCTACACATTGTCTCATTGCCTTTTAGGATTGATATATTGCTACACATGCATCTAAAACATATTGAAATGAAAAATGAAAGTTGAAACATATTTAACTAATGATAACAGAATAAAAACTGCATATGATGCACATTATTGGACCAAACTGAAACTGGAGATTGAAAGCTGAATTGAACAAGAACAATTGATTTTCACGGATTAAATTGATGAACAAACATAAAGGAACAATGGAAGTACAAGCATAGCAAGCACACACACGAAATTAAGCCAAAACAGAAGTGAAAAAAAATAAAAAATAGTAAGAACATGAACTACACAACACGAACATGAGAAAACTGAAGATCAGAGTGGCTAAGCTCTTGTAGACAAGCGCGGACGGGCTAGCTCTAACTACCAAAGGATGGAAGCGGCTCCATGCTCCATGCTCGAGCAGATACGTGAATCACATTGATGAAGCGGATTGTATGGATGAGTCAAAATGTAGGTGCACACTAGGTGTTTGATGGAAGGTTCAGTGTGTGTTTGGTGTTTGTTTGAAGCCTCTCAATCTCAGAAGGTCTTCCAAGAGGGAAGGAAGCTAAAGGAGTAGGTGTTGGATAAGCACAAAACGTTGAACTTGGAGAATAGAGGTATGGAGTAATCCCAACAGCACTTCACTATCAATTTCCATGTTCCATTTGCAAAGGAGGGAGCCTTTCTTTTATAGGTGAAGAGAGGGCTCCATTTCTGAGTTTTAAAGTGCCTAAAAACTACAAATGAAGTGTGATGGAGAAGTTAAGGAGCTTGGAATGCATGTTTCTTCCTAGCCATATTAGAAATGTGTTGTATTAAAAACTCTGGTCCACAATCGTTGGGCAGCAATGGTGGTTTCGATTGAGCGCTGGCGAAATCCGGAAGGCACTTTGCTTTCGTTTTCTAATCCGGAAGCTATGTAGTCCAATCCAAAGTGATGCTTTTCTCTCCATTTTTGGATTCCTTTGCTTCCTTTAGCTTGCCAAGCCTCCTAGGGTGTTTAGGCATGGTCTCCAACCTTTATTTATGACCTATAAAACTATACAAATGTATTTAGCAAAGAGAAGAAGGATTAATAAGTGATTCTCTACAGGAGTAAAGTAGTAAGTGATCCTTCTTCTTCTTGAATCCTTCTAGACAAGGCTCTTGTTAAAGGTTCTATGTGCATCTTAGATAGTCCGCCATTAGTTTGTGTTCTTCTATATTAGATTGTGAGTTGGATATGAGATTATATTGAGAAAGGGTCTCTATAAGTCTCAATGTATAACTCAATCTCTATAGTGAAGAGGCTTTCAATCTCAGGTTGATTGAAAGGGACTGGATGTAGGCATTGAGGTCGAAGTAGTATAAAAATCTTGGTGTTTGTCTTTCTATCCTTAAGCTCTTTTATTGTATTACAACCTTTATTTGCTTGTGTTTCAAGAAAGTACAAAAGATTTACAAAGGTTTTCAAAAGAACATATTTTTTTAATAACAACCAACTCACCCCCTCTCTTGGTTGGGAAATAGGGCTTGCACATTTCTACAATTGGCACCAGAGCTAGTTTTTCGAAAGTTACTCGAAAACTAATTGATTATATTTTCTATGTAATCGATTATTGTGATCCTGATAGCCTCTATTTCTCTATTCATAAGCAAGAGTGAATTTAATGGTGATTTCTCGAATGCTACTTGGAAAAGATATGTGTAGTTCAATCAATAACAGTTCTTATAAGTTCTTTACGACAAGAAAATATCGGAAATCTATTCAAGAAGGAGAAAGTGGTACTAACATTCTGAAATCTGAAGGAAAAGAATCAAACTTGTTGGCAAAAAGGTTCACCAGATTTCTGAATACAAGTGAAACTGATATCAATCCCAAGGATGTTCGGAAGTTGTGTAAGGATCAACATCTACAGCGAACAAACCTATGCATGATGGTCAAATCAAACACTTCTGAAATGTGTGCAGAACAAGGGAAAAAGCAATCAATGTGGTGTTTGGACAATGGTTGCTCTAGACACATGACAGGTGATCCAACCAGATTCATCAGTCTATCTCATAAGACAAGTGGCCACGTTACATATGGAGACAACAATAAGGGTAAAATTGTTGGAAAAGGTAAAATTCAAACACCATCCTCCTATGTGATTGAAAATGTTTTGCTTGTTAAAGGCAACTTTGTGATAAAGGGTTAAAAATTACTTTTGAGCCTAACCATTGTTTTATTTGCAATGGTTCAACAAATGAACTCCTGCTAATTGGAAAAAGGTGCAATAATATATATATGATTGATTTTAATAAAACATCGATTAGATATGTTATATGCTTGTTGTCTAAAGATGATGATGCTTGGTTGTGAAATAAAAAGTTGGCTCACATTAATATGGTACAATTAAATAAACTTGTCTCTAGGAATCTTGTTATTGGTCTACAAAATATAAAATATGTTTCTGACAGGCTTCGTGATGCTTGTCAAAAGGGAAAGCAAACAAAAACATCCTTTAAAACCAAGAGAGAAATGTCAACCACTAAACCTCTTGAGTTGCTTCATAGGGATTTATTTGGTCTCTCAAGGATCAAAAGCCTTGGTGGAAATCTTTATGGTTTGGTAATTGTAGATGAATTTTCTAGATATACATGGACTTTTTTTCTTACTGTCAAAAGTGATACTTTCAGGTTATTCAAGAATTTTGCATCTATGTTACAAAATGAAAAAGACCTCAAGATCAACCAATCAGAAGCGATCATGGTAGGGACT